TAGAAAGGAATTTCTAGAGTGTGTCTGTAAGAACCTACACAAACTAAAACAGATTTGGTATAAACCAAATATGTACGTACATGTATGATCAAGTTATGTATTCTTTATTATCTTAATGATCTCAAACTATAAGAATAGGTTGTATTGAGTTTGAAATTCGAACAAAAACAGAATATAAATGATATAAAACCCTGAAAATATCAGCTATTGGTAAATTTTCATTTTCCATACACGGTTTGCTTCAGATCTGTTTATGGGAAAGGCATAAATAAATAAAAACTTGTAAATGCATCTAGTGTACTAGTGTGTATCATATTTAAAAACAACGCCATTAATGTCAATATTTGGGAAATTAGCAATACAATCTTTTTAGAAATTAGAAACAATATGATATAATGCCGATTAATTGACAAACAGTATCCTTAATGATACCGTTATTTATATTTTGATATAGCACGATGGCATAATTCATTCTGAGTGTACTGGCCAATCACTTTTACGTTTCCCTGTTGACAAAAGGCAACTGAAATAGCAATATTAGAATTACTCTGAAAATAATGTGTGCACGGCGTTATTGCAAAGTTACTTTACTTTTACAACAAGAATTTGTAACAGAGTAACCAACGTCCCCCGTCTCTCGGGGACGTTTTATATGAAGCATAAAATTGTGCTATTTCAAAAGATTCAGATATGGAGATATCTCTGGCTTTTCAGTCCAAAATTATGATCAATGCTAGATCTGAAAATGCAACATACATTAAATTAATTAAAGAAATACTAGTAAAATGAAACACGGAATTTAAAAAAACTATCATGTTTAGCTTTGACCTTGACCTTGGAGGTAGGGGTGCAGTTGTTGTGCATGACATATCGTCTTATTATTGTATCTATTTCTTTCAAGTATTTTCAAAATCCCTTGAACTATGAAAAAGTTATAGATCGGACACAAAATTTACTCTATAACAGGCTATATTAATCTTTGACCCCTAAGTGTGACCTTGGAGGTAGGGACCCTGTTTTGTGCCTGATATATCGTCTTATTTTTGTGATTATTTGTTTACAGTATCTTTAAAACCCATTGATCTATGAAAATGTTATGGACTGGACAAAAATATACCCTATAACAGACTATCTAAATCTTTGAACTCTACGTGTGACCTTGACCTTGGAGGTAGGGACACATGTGTTACGCATGACATATCATCCTATCATTGTGACTATTTGTGCCAAGCATTTTTAAAATCCCTTGATCTATGAAGAAGTTATGGACGGGACACAAAATAAACCATATAACAGACTCTGTTAACCTTTGACCCCTAAGTGTGACCTTGACCTTGACATATTGACTTGTTGTACTTGACATATCGTCTTATTATTGTGACTATTTGTGCCTAGTTATTTCAAAATCCCGAAGAAGTTCTAGATCGGATACAAAGTATACCCTTAAACATACTATGTTATCTTTTGACCTCTAAATGTGACGTTGAACTTGTGCCTGAAATAAAAATTTAGCATGATGAAACGATGCAGATCGTCTTTGAGTTATAATTCTTTATTAAGCTTTATGTTTTCTTGAAATGTCATCTCTGGCTCCATCATACAAATATGTTTAGAAAGTCTATACTGGATTAATTTAGCTTTTAGAGACGAATCGCCCGGGTGTTTATCTGGATTTATGACGGTAAGAACACGTTTAAAGAACTTTTAATGGAAACAGGGTCTATTGCGAGTAAATGCAATAAAAGACATAATTTACGAAACAGATATTAGTAATGTCAATTTACCGATGTTAGAAATTTATATCTATTTAGCTGGAATAATTCATGAACTAATGTAGAACACTTCGTTAATTTTTATAAACTTTGAATGATGAATATGATGAATTTTTTCGAAAGTTATCTACATGTGTCTACCGTCTTATAGATAAGAATGTAGTAGGTAACAACATATAAATATTACTATTATATTGACATAACCATTTGCTTTCTCTGTTGTTTGGTATATATTTTGGATGGGAGGCCTTTAATTATAAAAATAAATAGTTGAGTTGAGTTTCAAGGTTGGTCATATATTTTTTGTGAAGTTTACTCGTTGATCTTGTCAAATTTTAATCATATTACCATGTACTTTGATTTTTTAATTATAAGACTTTAAAGATATCACGTTCCAAATTTATAAATGAATCTAGTATTATTTAGCAAATGAATACCTTTATAATTACATATTTATTATTACATAATTATTATATTATCTGAAAAAGATCCAATTGATACATAAAGACTGTTAAAGAGGTGACCTCCTAAGGTATGAACATAAAAACAGAACATTTAAGCAGGAACAGTCACGTGACACGTACCTTCGCGGATAAACTCAAATATTCAATTTTGTCAAATGCGCAGGTTTTTACATGGACAAAACCGTGTTTACCTGTATCACGTGACAACCTGTATTTTGCGCCATTCGTGTTTCAATAATTGGGTGAGGCATAATATTGAATCTACGGAGACAGAAATGGGCCAACTTCGCCAATGTGTTTTATGTCGTTTTTTTATGCTATGGTTGCTAAACAAGATATTATTATAAGCAAACCTTTAGTAAAATAATGCACATTTTTCAATCTGTATTTTCATGTTAACAAACAATCTTCCGATTCTTTAGTAAGTGTGCCTTATAGCGATTGTTTGAAATGCATCAGTCAGCGAGTTAAAAAAAAATAAACAAACCAACCAAAAAGTAAAAATGAAATAACATCAGTGCTAATTGATCAAATTTTGTTCTATGAAATAACAGATTTATATGAGCTGTTTTTTTTTCTTCATTTTTTAATAAATCTTAGAAAAAACAACAATGTTTTAAAAAACAAAGCAGAACTATTATCGTAACATTTTTTATCTGATGTTTTAATTTTTCGACCCCCCCCCCCCCCAAATAAAAAACATAGTTCTTAAATTTGTTATTCTTCTTAATTGTCGCCATATATTTCAAGGGTCTGTGCGACACTAAGTAATGTGTGTTTGGATTAGTCAAGCAAACGACTGTTCTGTTGATTTACTTGATTTACTGTAAACTCCTGTACACCCCAAATACACTATACAATTAATGAAACAAATATTTTGTTCTGTTTAATGGACACTCAATTTGGATGGCAACTTCAACTGCGGTCTATAATGTTGTTGTTTTTTTTTTAAGAAAATAACATAACGTTAATCTCGAAGTAAAGAAAGTACATCTATTAGTTGATATTTATAACCTATACCATGTTTACACGCATACAAACCACAATCAGTGGATGGTTTGTACAATTTTCGAAGGTGAACAGTAAAAAAAATGTGCCTTGACATGATATTTACAACATTCAAATGACGTAATCGTAGAAACGTTAAGTCAAAGTTGTCGTCATTTTTTATAATATGACACGCGCTTTTTCCAATCAAAACTGTGCAAGTTTTAAACAGGGCGCGTAAAAAAATTGTATTTCAGCATGAACACAATTCGTTATTGCATTAATATAATAATTCTTTTACAGGTTTTCCGATATACATGTACATGTAGTTTAAAGAAATAGGTATAAATGGCTCTTTTTTACAGCGTAAAAATTATGTACATACTGCGCTTATAAACCACTCGCTGAATCGTGATCTTTAGTACCGTGGAAGAACATTTCAAGGAAAATACACGTTGAGAAATCTTATTTCATCTATTCAAACTACACTTGACATATTGTCCTTGTAACATAAAACACTTTCGGGGCTTACTTACTTAGATGTTTTCCAAGTATTTCTCTTCATTACAGTATGCCGTGGCTGTTATGTATATAAATTGGAATAAACAATTTATTGTAAAAAGAACAAGAAAAATATCACATCACATGGATATCATTGTTTTTATATAACGGACACTAAAAAACAAGAGTATATAATTATATTACAATTGTAAAGTGCGTAAGACGCTTGAAGTTGTTGAGATCCCGTCCTGCTTTATATTGAATAAAAGGGAAAACAAAAATTACATAATCAAACATAATGGTAGCAGCATGCCTCAAGATCCATACACATTTTCAACATTTTCATAACAATTAGGAAAATGTTTACATGTGTATTGAAGTAAAACATTGTGAAGTGTACAAAGAAAGTACACATTGCATGCGGCACTTACAATCCAGTAAATTACAAAACAGATGTCAAAATAGGCAAAATGGCCCATACTGCATCAGTCAAGCAGAAGACAAAAGGTGTTCTCTGTAAAGTCGTTGTAATAGTTTATGCTTAAAAGTGAAAGTCTGGGTTTTAAATATTTTGTGAGACACACTTGATGTCACTCCAAGTATATCACTCATTGAGTCGTGAACAAAGCTTGTCGAACTTTTTGTGACTACATATTATTTTATGATTCCCTAAATGTCCTAAAAATGTGTATCTTGTTCTTTAAATAAAAAAGCATATTTTCATGTTCCAAGAAAATAACTGTGCTAAAATAATAAAACAATTCATTGCAATTATAACTCTAAGCTGTAACTTCTTTTGTTTAGCGCAGTGTACGTACGCGTAGCCGTTGAACGTCTGACGTCATTTTCTTTACGCGGGTCTGTTTCCAATGCCTTAATACAAATATCAATCATGCTTTAGATCTTGTTGTTGTTAATGTTTTTACGTGAATATGCTTTACATGTATATGATCACACAACTTTAAATGGATTACAATTGATACGTTGTCGCTAATGTCAAAGAAAACGACGTCGCCAATATTGTTCAATATTGTTATAAATCAAGTTTCATTATCCAAGAATGAAACTTTTTCTTTTGAATGATTTAGAAAAGAATGCATTTTAAGATAGACAGATAGATACTTTATTTCCTTCTATATACATGAAGAGCTGAACATATATACAAGCATATCAATGTGAACTTAACAAAACAGTAAAAACACAGCTAAATACAACATGTATTCAAATATTTGTAAACATTAAGCAATCTCAATTTACAAAAGATAGCAATCCAGAATTCAATATTTACAATATTTCTAGGAGCATACTCATATTAAAAGTAAATAAATAAATAAGTAAAGAAATACACAAATAAATAAATAAATATTGATTGAATAAAGAATAGAAATGTATCATAATGTCAGCTCTGTATTACAGCTTTAAAGAATTTGTCATAATGTTTGTAATTATTCTGAGGAGTACAGATGATAATTAACAGTCTTGCTCTTGACATTAATGCTAAATAATCAAAAATATATGATATATCTTAAGAAATCATTAAACATCCTTTCTATATGTGAGAAATCTTGTCCGAAATGAAAGTTAACAAGAAACCTCAATTAGAAAAACCCTTTTTATTGTTCTTTTTTATAAGATTATTAAACCTGATTAAATTGAGTACTGATTCTAATGTTGTACAATATTTTTCGATTAGTTTAATGTTTAATTGTTAAGATATCAAAACTCATCTGGCCGAAAACATGCAGACTCGAAATACAAGATCAGTATTAACTTAATCTTTAAAAAGGTAAAATGTCGAATTTCAACACTATGTTGGAAATGTCATGTCACGGCTCAATTATAACTATTTTTATATATATTCAGAACAAAGCTTCAGAGTACAGTTGACTTAAAACAATTATAACTCTTTTATCTCTTAAAAAACATTTGCATGTAATATTTGTAATGTTAGTACATTTGAACATATCAAATATGATATAAATCAAGAATTACAATTTAGAAAAAGATAAACTAGCTGTAATAAACTATAATAGCATAATGTTTCTCACAAAAAGTATCTTATAACATGTCTGACAAGAAAAAAAAGTTTGTTACAAAGCCTTTAATAAAATGAGAATTATATGTCTTATGAAACAGGTATAGTTTAATATTTTTAAGTTCGTGTAGAAAGATTCCATGAGTGTTGTCAATAGTATCGTCTTATAGTGGTCACTTAAGATGACCATTTCAATGGTCAAGATCAAGTTCTGCACTTTGGTATCCACCTTATACCAAACTATGTGAAATAAATCAATATACCACTTGTACTACCAAATGACCCTAAAGAACATCTTAAAAGAAGGTTAATTTCTCAAAATCAGTCGTGTCAATTACTCCGATGATACAAGCATTTAGATGCTACGAATGGTAAGATAATATTTGATATACTAGTTTATATGCCGATTTCTAAGATATTTGATCCAAGTCTTTTGTACCTGTCATTCTATATAATCTGCGTCTCCTCGAAAGTAATTAAAAAACAAATCCAAGTTAAGAATATTCTCTGGGTTTTTTTTAATCGCAACTAAGGATAAAAAAGGTTTAATATATAAGGTGTAATAAAGTACTGAATATAAATTTGAATGACGACAGTTCAATCTGCTTCTTGGTTTTGTACTTTTAACTGTTCAATGTCGCCATTGTGTGAAACACACATACCCACACCTCAATCGAGCCATTCTTTGTCGTAACCAAATAATTTCCCCAGCAAAAGAATACCCAAAATCTCTTCGTTACTTTTTGATGACAAAAGATCGAAGTATCCGTACGGATTGTTTTGCCTTACAACAGAAAGCACTTCTCTTTTAGCGAACTCAAAGAAATCGTTTTCGGATTTTACAAGATGAAATAAGCGTTCAATTCTGTCAAATTTTACAGGATCTTCAATAGACAAACCTGCTGAAGCGACTTCGACAAGCAGATTTCTAAACAGCAACCGTTTCTGAACCTCTTCTTTCGGTAGAGAGCACATTAAGTGTATCAACGGACATCGTCGTAGAACTCCTGTTGGGTCCTTTGAAATTTCATTGAAGTGATCAATTAAACATCTACAATCTTTATCTGACAAAGTCCCAGACATCAGATTCTTTGAAAGTACAAAGTAATGCTGAAGACACCTAACTTCAAGACTTTGTTTTAAAAAGTCAATTGCTTCAAGCAAAATTTCAATAAAATTGGTAATTTTCAGGATATTGTTGTTCTTCTCGGATACCCAGAACATAACATTCTTTACTTGGTAGGAAGTGATATATTCACAATCAGGTTTCAGTACATGTTTCAAAATCATTTTCATTGCAGTATATGCTTTAATCTGTGCATCGTTGAAGGACCTTACCAACAATCTTTCTGCAAGTGTACAAGATACCCTCCATTGCAATTCTTCTTCCTGACTTCCTGCTAAACCAACAGGTACAACAAATAATGGTGATTCCTTTACTTCCATCGATGTCTCTTCACTAGGCCAGGACTTATCTTGAACCCTTTTTAACCACTCATCAAAAAATGACGGTATTTCACAGGGAAAGGCTGGTACGTTATCTACCGACAAATAACGACCAGACATTGGTATTGGAAATTGAAGCGGCTGTGCAGGCCCATGGGCTTGTTCTTGTTGAAAGTGTTCACTGATCCAACCTGTAATTTCCACATTATCTTGTTCACCTTTATATTCTACAGCCTCAATGATTCGTTCGTTATTTTTCAAATATCTGTCACTTGTTAATGCGCTGTTGATTCTATTAACTAATTTATAGTATTTGTCGGGCTTTTGAATGTTTTTTATAGTTTCTAAATGCAACTTAACATAACCCTCAGGAACATCATTAAAGTGTAGTCCAAACGTAGCAACATATTTGTCTATTTTCTCTTTATGTTCTGCAGGAAACGTTTGAAAACACATTACAGCTGGCTGGAGTTTCAATATGTCCATATCACTACCTAAGGCAACAGCTATTCCTTCTCCACGACTTCCAAGAACAAAAACTTCAAAATATTCAAACCAATTTCTAAGCGTTATACGCTCCATGCACCTACTTGCATTGTCATATATTTTTACTCTCTGTTCAGACTTAACCTTTGAAAAGCCGAGGTCGTTGAGAATATCATGCATGTTTTTATCGGTTTTATGTTTGTCATCCATTGTCAAACATTTGACTTATTTGCATAAGACAATCGTTCAGATTGTACTCTCACTTCTGAAAATATATCATAAATCTTTTATTTCATCATTAAAATATTCAGTATCAGAATGTAGTATTAAGAGCCATGTTAACATGGCCACCCCCTCCGAATGTGTTTGCTCATTGGAAGAAAGTATATGTAGTACATCAGAATAATTCAATTTTAAGAGGTCTTTCCGTCATGAAAACTGGTGGCTGAAGTGATTACAGATTTGAAACCTATGTGAATACTGATGGCTGAAAATAACAAAGGACTGACACAATAACTGAAAAATAAAATAGGGTAGGTTATCATTCTTGTGTGCTGCAATCCTCCATTATGAGATCTATCCACCTATGAAGTTTAAAGTTGATACCTTTAGTTATGCTCCACTCAGATGAAAAATTAAGTATGAAAAATAACAAAGGGCAATAACTCATAAATTAGGAAGGGTAGTTATCTTGTGCACTGCACACCTCCTGAGTGAGATATATCCTACTATGAAGATTCATGTTGATATCTCAGAGGTCTTTTGTCAAAAATTAAGTTTGTAAAATAACAAAGGACAATAACTGAAAGCTTATGCAGAATATCAATCTTGTGCACCGCACTCCTCCTCAATATATTCTACACATCTAATGAAGTTTCAAGTTGATACCTCAAATACTTTTTTGAGATATGCTCCGGACAAAAATGTCGGATGGAATGACAAACAGACGGAGACATTTACTATATCCCGCACCGCCTTTCGGTGGGGGATAAAAAAGATAAAACCTGAATCCCTTACGAACGACTAAATCAGTACTTGAAAGAGCAAGATACGGTCAAAGCATCATAGTGCCGTATTTTGCAGAATAAGAATGACTAAGCAGCTGAACAAAATATTTAGAAAATAAACATACAAATAATTAATGATTGAAGGGATAACACTGTGTACTTTTGACTACACCAACATTGAAAATGTTTACAATAGTCGAAATGGATTAAAAGTTGTTTTTTCTTTTATATTGAATCTATCAAAACCTCAGTCTGCTGCTTTTATTCAAATACATTCCAAATGAAAATGTGTAACCACAGAAATTGATAAGTATAGAATATTTCAAATGTGGATTAAAACAATTTTAGTATCAAAGTATTATATATACCTACATTTAGTTTAAGCGGTATTTTATCTAGTTATTGATTATGATAGGTTTTAAAGCAGCTACTGTGATAATGTTGTTAGCATGAACGTCAATTTATTATAATATTCGTATAAATAAGAATATAATAATATCTATTGCCTAAAATGTCGACAAACACTATCATTTACATTATTGTCATAATTATCAAAGCACAAACAAAGTGGCTTCTGAATCATATGATTCATGCCAAATACGAAAGTACTTTTTGAAAACATACGTTAATATAAGTTGGCTGAACCTACTTCCAAGCTGTTAGATCGAAAATGATCAAACTTGTCATTATGTTCTAAATTGTTGTCTTTTCAAATCTTAAACTAAATAATATGTTGATCGTAAAGAGATCTGGAGAAAGGGTTTTCCGTCGGAAGCATAAATCACAACAAAATTACATGACATTGCAGACCCGGTCTGATTGAGTCTGTTCAACATTCTTCAAGCTTTGGCGGTAAGTCTGACATACATAATGTTTTAAATTATAACATCGAGGAAAGGTTGCTCGAGATCAGGAAAATAATATATTTTAACTCATCTGACCTGGGTAATGAACTAAAAATATATTCTAGTAACAGCACAACAAAGAGATGTGTCAAAGAGATAAAAGGTCTTCGATAAAGCGATGTTTTGAATATTGTATTTTGGTAAGTTAACGCTACCTCCCACATTGGGCAAACGACCAAAAAAGAAAAAATATGATGAATGTTTCCAAAGGATTGGAAATGTCCAAACTAAATCTCTAATAAAACACTTACACGCACTTTTTAATTTAATGGTATTCATTTAACTTTGAAATTCAACGATTAAATAAAACAAATGACCAATAATGATCAAAAGCGTTATAAAACATTTTTTATTTGTCCAGAAAATAATAAAATTCGTCTTGAATGATTCAAAAAAGATTGTTTTTTGAAGAAAGTATAATGTCAAATACGATATGGCCATCCTAGTAATTATCAAACTACTATGAATAGAAATTGGACGTGCATTGTTAAAGAGAGTTAATTGTTGTTTCGTTTGTAAACACAACAACGTCACGCGGTTGAATCTGCATCTGCATGGGGTTTTTTTTCATGTTGTTGTTTTATTTGTCAGATATATACTGATACATTGATATCTATTAAACTTGAATATTTAATATGATAAAATCTCATACCTGCAATAATGTCCGTGTAGCAATAGCCTTTTCCAAAACATAATGATCGCTTTTTATACACTGTGGCGAACTTCAAAATGCTAAGTATGTGGATATTATTTAAAAACCAATCTACAGCTCGCATACTTTTACTAGGTACAATAAAATATGATAAACAAGATTAACAAAGAAAGGCGGCGTTCAATGAACGTACGTAACCCCCCCCCCCACCCAAACGACATATCAACAAGAACGAGCCCTGGAAGACACCGACAAAAATAGGACAGAGCGCAAGGCAGAGCACGGACAGGATAATCACATAAATGATACTTAACGATAAATAATAATAACTTAATAAAACGTATTACAAACTTGCAAATAACAATATTTCTACTCGAAAGATTCGCAATATGTATAGTTTAAAGATCTTGTTGGTATTCATGAATTGGAAATGTAGGTGTATGGGTGCGGATGTGTGTGTTTTTTTTAATTATCTTGCGACCACGAGATACTATCTCGTGGCCACGAGCTTGTAAGTCGTGGCCACGAGATAGATGAGTCGTTGCCACGAGATACTAAGTCGTCGCCACAAGTTACTAAGTCGTGGCCACGAGATAGCTAAGTCGTGACGACGAGATTCTATGTCGTGGCCAAGAGTTACTAAGTCGTGGCCACGAGATAGCTAAGTGGTTGCCACGAGATACAATGTCGTGGCCACGAGTTACTAAGTCGTGGCCACGATTTAGCTAAGTCGTGGCAACGAGATAATTAACCAATCAGAATAAACTATATATATTATGATTTTTTTAAACTTAACAACTTACTTTTACATGTAACATTGATCTTTGAAAATACTGAAGAAATTCACTTTGAACTTGTCTTTATCATCATATTAGAAAGTCACCTTCCAAGGCCTATCAGACATTAATTTTGACTATAGCCCTTTGTTGGGACAGTTTTGTGATCGAATTGGTCAGTTTGTACGCACTACGGCCTGTTAACCTTGTTTATACGATAACATGAGAAGGAATAAATCCTGGTTTATTTTATTTGAAAGGGACACTGCCCATGGACAGGAGATAGCCTATAAGGTAAATCCTTGTCAGATAAATAATTTAGAAGGGATAAGCCATGGTTTAAATAACCCAGACAGATCATTGCACCTAATCAGTAGATGATATCTAATAATTTCGAGGTCATTGGGTCAAAAATCAGGGTCACAATGACGCTAAATGTATAATTTTTGACCAGTCAACAAGTTGTGTAAATGGCACTTTTACAGACTGGTGAAGTAGGGGTATCCTTGTAAGCACATGTCTAGGTTAATTAGGGTTAAATTTATATAAATGGTGTAATCTGATTGGTTATTTATCTCGCGGCCACGAATTAGTAACTCGTGGCCACGACATAGTATCTCATGGCCACGACTTAGCTATCTCTTTCTTTTTCTTTGTTTTGAGTTTTACGTCACATCGACACAGTATAGGCCATATCGCGACGTTCCAGCTTTACTGGTGGAGGAAGACCTCAGATGCCCTTCCGTGCATTATTTCAGGCACGAATGGGCACCTGAGTAGAACCACCGACGTTCCGTAAGCTAGCTTGATAGCTTCCTCACATGAAAGAATCCAAAGTCCCTTTCGGGATTCGAACCCACAGCGGTTAGGGGCAAGTGATTTGAAATGACCTTAACCACTCGGCCACGGACGCCCCTAAATTAGCTATCTCGTGGCCACGATTTAGTAACTCGTGGTCATGACATAGTATCTCGTGGCCACGACATAGTATCTCGTAGCCACGACTTAGCTATCTCGTGGCCACGACTTAGTAACTCGTGGCCACGACACAGTATCTCGTGGCCACGACATAGTATCTCGTGGCCACGTCTTAGTAACTCGTGGCCACGACAAAGTATCTTGTGACCACGACATAGCTATCTCGTGGCCATGACATAGTATCTCGTGGCCACGAGATAAATAAAAATATTTTACTTATTAGTTTAGCTGTTCATACATTCTTGTCAAAAATGTTATTTAAAAGATCTTGAATCTTATTCGATTACGTTAACATGACTAGATTTGGAGGTAAACCGTTCGCATTTCTTTGCAAAAAAAGAACTAAGATTAATACAGGTATCACAAAAAATAATAGTTAAAACAATCAAGTTCAATGTTCCAAATAGTGTGAAATAGTTAATATTTAGAAATCTATAAATGTTGATTGAATATCGGTTGAAAATTGTATTCATTATTGTAACTATGTAAATGTTCTTTTTGCAAAATGTTTGAAATAAAACATGTTTAAACTAACTAATATTTCCATAATATTATATTTTATTATGTTTCCGTCCGTCTTTTTTTACTCTCCGTCTAGACTACTCACTAAGTAATTGCACGGTAACCCATTGGTGTTGTTCTGTCGGTTTCATTATTTCAATTTATTGACTATATTTGGGGCGTGACATGACATTTCCAACATATTGGTCAAACGACGTAATCTTTGTAACGCGAAGTCAAGGCAGTTTTCAGGGAAAAATAATCTTATCTATCATTCTTCAGACATTCGCCCGAATTAGTTTTAAATCGATGTAGTATATGTATTTATTAGCATGTCAATTGCATACTGAAAATAACGACAGTGAACAGAACATTGTCAACATCCATAGTCTAAGATATAATTATGCAAGCGTCTGTACCATGTTCAAATGGCAATGTACTTGTACATTCAAATATTTCTTTATTTGTATAAAGATATACAACGCATCTCAGAGATACTGTATAACATATGTTAAATAAATTAAGAATCGAACGTACAACCTCTCTAATCCAGAGCCAACCGTTTCAGGCATAACTGTTGCTTAACGACAAGATACTAAGCGTATCTTTTATTGTGTCATAAGTTTGGTTGTTATTTGAGATTAATTATATCTGTCATATGTTGCGGTTCATATCGGAATACACACCGCAATGATGACGTAATTCCGCAGTTAAATTCATTTTTTAAGTAGCAACTGCGCTGAGATAACCTTCAACCTCTTACAGACACTCGCTTGTGTACGAGTATAAGAAAGAGAATTTCAAGGAAATTTATGAGTTGACAAATCTAATTTCATCTGTTCTAACGACACTCGATACACTTTCGGGACTTAATTATTTTAAGTAATTAAACAATCATCTCATGTATTCTTTCGATTGTAATTTCATTTCCAGTGTCAAGATGTTTTCCAAGTATTTCTCGTTGTCCATATTTATAGTAACATGCAGGGGCTAATATACATTATATAAATCAGAATAAACACTTTAATACAAATAGAATAAGGAAGATATTACATCACGTGATTATCACCACAGGGACTCAGCACAGTGTTGGGATAGTGTAAAAAAAGTAATTCTAGAAAAATATATACTCTATATATAATATATATAGACAAGGGGTTGAACTCGCCAAATCGGCCGAATGTCACTAGTACAGTACAAGTCAAAATTGCAGTCATTTTTACGTAAATCATATAAAGCTATATATCAAATTGCAGCTAAGTGACATCACTAGACGTTGACAATAACATAATTGTCCCCACTTACCGTTTATGAACAACAAACCGATATTTCGGATAGAATATCGTATTTTTGCTTGGTCGGACACGACCGCGTAACCTGTCCCCCACTCGATTTTCTACGTGTAAAAACACAATTTCAAACCATGTCATTGTACAAACCCTATGTTTAACCATTTTCATTACTTAGAGAGCCTAATTTGAAAAATCTATAAAATTTACTAAAAATAGGGACTGTTCCGCTATTATTTTCGAAAGTATATTGGTTGGTTTTGTAAAATATTAAATACTTTTACCACGTAGTTTTAATTTCATACAATATGATAAACAAGATCAACAAAGATTGGCGGCGTTCAATGGACGCAACCCCCACCCGTAAAGGAGCGCAGGAGGACCCCAAACAAAAACAGGACAGGGCACAAGGCAAGTCCGGACGGCCGGACGGACAAGATGATTCCAGTATACCTTCCTTACAACTTCGTTGTGCGGGGGTATAATTAGATAATTAAAATTTTAAACTTCTCTTTCCAAAAGGGTATAAGAGATATAAAAATGATGTAAAAGAAAGAGTTGATCCTTCTGGGGTTTGAACCCCGAGGCCATTGTTTCAATGCATTTATCAGTTATTCTAGTCTACTTGAACATTCTTTACAGATATACAATATTACAAGAAACAAAGAATCCCTAAAGTAAGCCCAACAAGACAAAATTGAAAATGTTGTTGGCTCGGTTTGATTGAGCCTGTTCATGGACGGAAATAGAAAGTGCAAATTACCGGCCACGCCCCTTAGCACCGGCTTAAGCAAAATTCAACATTTAATGATGGTAATGTGAAATTTGAATTTAAAAACATCCACAGTTGTGTTCATACGGCAGTTATCATGGAACCCTCAATGTTTATACTAAACTTGTTTATTTTAAGTAAACAAAGGGACTATGTAGCAATTATTTATATTCCATGCATTAAATATGAGCATATTACATCAAACGGTGGTAATGCATTAACCCGTTCAAAACTTGTTAATGTTGGAAGTCCATAGGTATTGTACATTAACTGAAACTTAAAAAATCTGGAAAGAAAGTGATCCCTTGGAAGCATTAATGACAACAAAATAACAAGAGAATTGCAGACTCGGTTTGATTGAGTCTGTACATGAGGGATAACGAATACGTGCAACATCCCTCACGCCTCCTAGCACCGGCTTGAGTGGTTACTCAATTCTCAACACTTAATAGTGCTGGCATCAATGATCCCGAACGACCAGAAAAAGATTGGAAAAAGAAATAAAATAAACACTGGGCAACTTTTTACAGCTGCATACAAATCTGGAAACAAAGTGATCCCTCAAAGAGGAAATTTTGCATTAAGAAACATCCGCAGATGTGTTCATACGGCGGATATCATTGAACCTTCTATGTGACACTTTCTTGCCATTCCATTAAAAGCGGAGTATGGTTAAGTATGATAAACAAGATCAACAAGGAAAGGCGGCGTTCAATGAACGCAACCCTCACACGATCCAGCAACAAGGGCCAGTCTACGTCAGGGAACTCTGGTAGGTCAGGTCAATTGGCT